CTTGTCACATACAGCCTTTATTGTATTGAGGAATGTTCCATGGATTCCTAATTTTTCCAAAACCTTCATCATAAAGGGGTGCTGGATCTTGTTGAATGCTTTTCTGATTCTGTTTAGAAAACCATGTGATTCTTATCCTTGCACCTTTTGATGTGATGAATAATATTAATTGATTTGCATATATTGAACCAGGTTTGCATCCCTAAAATGAATCCTGTTTGGTCATAATGTATGATTTTTTGGATGAATTGTTGAAGTTGATTGGCCAAAATTTTGTTGAGAAATTTTACATCAATGTTCATCAAAGAAATGGGTCTATAGTTCTCTTTCTTTGATGAATCCCTGCCTGATTTTGGGATGAGGGTTATGATGGCTTCATAGAATGTGTTTGGTAGTGAACTTTCTCTTTCAATTTCATTGAAGAATTGGAGGAGTATTGGTGTGAGCTCTGCTTTGAAGGCTGTGTAGAATTCCTCTGTAAATCCATCTGTTCCTGGACTTTTCTTAGCTGGGAGTTCTCTTATTGCTGTTTCTATTTCAATGCTTGATATGGGCCTGTTAAGATGGTTTAACTCATCTTGGATTGGTTTTGTCATGTCAATATTTGCTAGGAAAAGTTCCATTTCTGCCAAGTTCTCATACTAATTAGATAAAGTTTTGAGAAGTATCCCCTTATAATGATCTGAATCTTGGTTGTTTCTGTGCTGATGTTTCCATTCTCATCTCTGAATTTATTTATTTGGTGTGTTCTCTTCTTTTTCTCATAAGATTTGCTAACGGTCTGTTAATTTTTTCAAAGAACCAAATCTTTCTTTTGTTGATTCTTTCTATAGTTTTTTTGGATTCTAATTCATTTAATTCTGATTTAATTTTAATTATTTCTTTCTGTCTACTGGATTGGGGTTTATCTTGCTGCTCTTTTTCAAGGAGGTTCCGATGTCTTATTAAATTGTTGGTTTCAGATCTCTCCAATTTGTTGATGTAGGAACTCAGAGCTACAAATTTGCCTCTGAGTATTGCCTTTACTGTGTCCCAGAGGAGCTGGTAATTTGTGTGCTCATTTTTGTTGAATATCATGAAAATTTGAATTTCCTTTCTAGTCTCTTCCATGACCCACTGGTCATTCAATAGTGTTTTGTTCAGCCTTTGTGTGTTACAAGACTTTCTTTGGTGGCTTTCGGTGTTGAGTTCTAATTTTCTTCCCTTGTGGTCAGAGAGAATGCATGATATAAATTCAATGTTTCTGAATTAGGACAAGTTTGCTTTGTGACCTAAAATGTGGTCTATGTTAGAAAATGTTCCATGTGCTGCTCAGAAAGCAAACTTCTGAAGCTGCTGGGTGAAATATTCAGTAGATGGCTGTAACAACTAGTTGATCTGTGCAGTTGTTTAGATCTGCGGTTTCTCTGTTGAGGTTTTGCCGAGTTGATCTATCTAGTGGGAAGATTGGTGTGTTAAAATCCTCAACAATTAATTTCTTTGGATCTATGTGGGATTTGAGGGAAAGTAGTGTTTATTGGATAAATTTGGGTGCTCCGTTGTTTGGCGAATAGATATTTAGAATTGTAATATGCTCCTGAAGGAGAGATCCCTTAATTAGTATGTAGCGACCTTCTTTATCTCTTCTCACAAATTTTAATTTGAAGTTCTTTTATTTGATATTAGGATTGTAACTATCGACTATTTATGGGGGCCGCTTGCTTGGTAGATTTTGTTCCAGACTTTAACATTGAAAATGTGTTTGTTTTACTGGCAAGATGTGACTTCTGAAGGCACCAGATAGAAAGATCTTGTTTTTTAATCCAACTAGAGAGTCTATGTCACTTAATTGGAGAGTTAAGTCCATTAATAATGAGAGATAGGACTGAGAGTTATTTGGGAGTTCCTGCCTTGTTATCCACCTTCTTGGGGCTCCTAAAACTGGGTTCTTCCTATGGTTCTTGGATTCTCAGTGTGGGTGCAGTTTCTTGCCCTTTATTATGGTCTTGTTGGTTTTCTATTTGTAGGACATCTTTAAGAATCTTTTGTAGGGCTGGTTTCGTGGAGATGTATTGTTTCAATTTTTCTTTGCTATGGAAGGTTTTTATTTGGCCTTCAGTTATGAAGGAGAGTTTAGCTGGGTAGAGTATTCTTCCTTGATAGTTGTTTGTTTTTAGGGGGTGGCATACATCATTCCAGGCTCTTCTTGCCTTGATTGTCTCTGCTGAGTAATCTGTGGTGTTTCTAATTGGTTTCCCTTTATAAGTTATTCATCTTTTCTCCTTCACACCTTTAAGGATCTTTTCCTTGGTCTGAGTTGATCCTGTGTGGATTATAATGTGACAGTGGGATTTCCTATTCTGGTCTGGTCTATTTGGAATTCTAAAAGCTTCTTGTATCTGAATAGACCTATCTTTTTGCATGCTTGGAAAGTTCTCTGCTAGGATCCTGTTAAACAAATTTCCTAGACCATTAACTTCTGTTTCTAGGTGCTCCTCTACACCCATTATCCTCAGATTAGGCCTTCTGATGGTGTCTTCCAAGTGTTGGATAGATCTATCATATTTCTTGGACTTGTCTTGGATGGTTGTATGTTCTTTCTCTATACTATCTAGGCTGTCTTCAATCCCCGAGATTCGATCTCCTGCATCCTCTAACCTGCTGTCAAGACTTTCTACTTTAATTTTAAATTCTTCTCCTTCTAATTAGTCAGCTTTGATGGCTTCAAATCCTTTGTTGCAGCTTTGTTTTAGATCTTGAATGAACGTCTTTACTTCCTTAATTGGGTGTTCAATGTTTATTCTAAAATCACTTAGTTGATTGTTTATGGTTTCCTTGGACTCCCATTCCTTCTGTTGGGTTCCATTCAGCTTTCCCTTTGTGGTCTCCCTGACTTCCCTCAGCTCTTTTTTAATGGCTCCCATGAAAGCCTTTAGTGATCTTTGTGTATACTCATCCTGCTCTATCAATTTCTGTATTACTCTTTGCTTAGCTTCCTGATGTTCATGCCATTCCTGTAGTTCACTTTGCGTGTTCTCAGCCTGCTCACACCATTCCTGCCTTTCTCTTAGAGTATTCTCAAGCTGCTCACGCAAATCCTGTATCATTTTTTGAGTAGCTTCCTCACGCTCATGATATTCTTGTATAAATCTTTGGATTGCCTCTTTTCTCTCCCTATCACTCTCATACAGAGTCCTTTGTAAGTTTTCAAACTTTTCCTACATTGACCTTTTGTTTGCCTCCTCTCTCTCCCTATCACGCTCATACAGAGTCCTTTGTATGTTTTCAATATTTTCATTTATCATGTTTGCCAGCAGTGGATTATTCATTATCTGTTCTGTTACCTGATTATCATGAGTGGGAGTGGAGATACCCGGACTTGCCATTTTTCTTGTGTTTTTCCAGCTTACACTGCCCATTTGGGATGAAAATAACACCAGTTTTTTGCTAGAACACTTTCTTAAGGCAAGCATCAACCAAAGTCTGTATTTGCACAGTCAATATTCTGCAGATACAGTCTAGTTCAACAGATACATCTATTCAACATTTAACAACTATATATTAATGGGGTGCGAACCATGAAGAAGAATTTGGTAAACCATAAATTATTAGGTTTAGGGAGAGATGTGGGTTAACAATAGGAATAGAATGATGTGGGAATGTACAGGGAGAGTTAACTGAGTCCTAATCTCAAAGAAGGAAATAAGTTGGATAGTATGAAAGTAGAGAGCGAAAAAAAAGAAGAAAGGAAAGGGAAAAAAGTGACCAAGAAAAATAGAAAAGTAAAAATTTAAAATATGAAGCAGAAATGAATACAAACTATTCAGAGAAGAACGTGAATATAATGAGAGACGGGGGGAATATAAAGGAGATGTGAAAAATTTAAAAATAAAAATACTTAAAATATTATATAGGTATAAAGAGGTAGTACTGCTATTAAGGAATTTAAGTCTAAGAAGTTTTTAATTGAGTAATGAATTTGTGGATTAAGTGTGTACACAATGGGGGATAAGGTCTACTAATCGACTACGGGTTTATATGAGGATGTGCAGAACAACAATTAAATCGCATAAAGAAGAACGAAAGAGAAGAAAAGGTGAAAAGGATAAGAAAGAAAGAAGAAAAGATCAGAAGTTCAGTAGAGCTAAACAAAAAACAAAAAGAATTTTTTTTAAAAGAAAAGAAAGAAACACGCACACACACATATACCCCTAAAATAAAAATTATAAGAGGAAAAAAAGTTACTAGAAAACAATTTATTTCAAAAAAGGTAAAAATTAAAAATTTAAAAAAAGTTTTAGAAAAAAGTTTTTATAAAAGGTACCAAAAAAAAAAAGAAAAAAATTTTTTGTTAGGGGTCGGAAAAATCATGTATCTCCCTTATGTCCATAACCAGCCTCTTGTTGGAGTCTCTGGTCTGCTTGTGGTGTTTGATTTTCCTGTGGCTTGGTTGGTTTCTTAAGTCAGTTTGTTTGAACAGGCAGAAAAATGCTCTGCTTTACCCAGGATTTTGTGATCCTCCTCCCAGATTAGTTCAATGGAAGGGAGATATGCTTTGAGTATCACAAAAGAGGGAGATGGCTTTTTCCTCAAGTTTGGAGATGCTGTGATGAGGCTAGGTTCTGGGTAGAGTTGAGGACTTTCAGCAAACATTAGCTTTTCCCGGGGGCTAGTTTGTGAGAAACTCCCAGAGCCCAGCCTGGAGCCACTCTCCGGGTTTATGTTTACTGAATTTCAATTGATTGTCCAGGCTGCTAAAGGGAAGGGCAGCCTCTGGCTCTGATTACCCAGTGAAGAAAGCCACTCCTATGGCTGGCGCCCGAGCTGGGTGACTTTTCTCTGGGTGGAGCTGAGTCTGGCAGGTCAGCTTAGGTTCTTGTGACCTGCTAAATGACTCCAGTTTTCTTCCAAGGCTTAAGTTGGAGCTAGCAGCTCCATCGAGCATTGTCAGTATCCAAGATGGAGATCTCTAGTGCTGGAGGGTGAGGGAAGGCCTTCCCTCCTCTGCTCCCTGAGAAGCAGTGAGGAAGCATCATATACACTAAATTTGGAATGATACCGAGAAGATTAACATGGCCCTTGCTTAAGGATGACAGGCAAACTCCTGTCATTCCATCGCCTAATTTGTTAGGAAATGGAAAGGCTTCGGAAATAGATTATGAAGTGTAGTAAGCCAAGTCCAAATAAACATAAGTCCCATGGTTTCCCTAATTTTCAATAACTAATATATGTCTGGGATAAGCAGAAAAGGTCTAAAGCTATGAGCATATGACCAGATAAGATTATGTTAAGGGAAATGAACCGAAGTTAGTGACACAAGTGGTTTTTTCTTTCTTGCTATTGTTTCTCTCATATTTATAACATACAGTGTGGTTTTGTTTTGTTTTTTTTTTTTGCTTCTTTATATGTTCCGACCCCATGTTATAACACCTGTTTTCACTGTATTTGAAGTTGGTGCGCCTACATCTTGTCTATAGTCTCTTCTAATTTGTGGATGGGAAGAAGAAAAAGAAAATGCTTAAATAGGGATACAGGTTCACCCATTGTAACAATGAGATGCACAAGACACTATGTTGTAAAATGAACTTTACAATTGAGGCAGGGGAAGGGAGGAGGTGAGTGGACTTGTGGAGGTGGAAGGGAAGGGATAGTAGGGGAATAATAAAGGAGGAGTTAACAATGCTTGTTAGGAAATGTACTCATTGCCTTGCTCGTGTAACTGTGACCCTTCTGTACAGCATTTTTGCAATGAAAACATATAAAAATGTTCTGAGATGGAAGAGTTTATTTCCTTTATTTCACTCATAATATCGTTAAGAAATTAATGAAAAACACTGATATGAAGGTATTTTGAATAAATTTTGAATAAAGTGTGCCCACACACTTGCATGTGTGTTGGTATGCTCAGAGTTTGAAATCAGGGCTTCAAGGTCTTGCTAGTCCTTTTCGCTCTGTTAGTGAGCTACTAAATGAGCTACATCTCCATTCCTGGCCCTTTGCTAGTTCATTAAAATTTTTGAAAAATAATCTTATGAATTTATTTTGCCCTGATAGGCTTCCAACTGTTATCCACAGATCTTAGGCTCCTGAGTAGATATCCCCAGTAGTAGGATTACAGGCCTTATAAACCAGCAAAAGGCTTTCAGAATAATGTATAAAGTAGAAGAAAATTTACTTCACAGGGGCCTGTTTTATCATCTCCTACTTTTAAAACATTTTGGATTGATTATATGTGAATTTATTTCGTTTTGGAATTGTTAAAAGACAGTAAGTGTTGATATTTAAAAGTTTTAGTACATTTTAAAAAGGATACTGGAACTGTGGGACAGAAGAAATATGCTTCTCTTTGTGCCTCAATTTATAAGCTCAGTTCTGTGCATGATAACCCAATGTCACCAAAGACATTGTATACTATTATTTCTTGGACAATATGAATATTGAATTGAGAGTGTCATAGAATGAAGAGATTTTATCTACCTTTTGTGTATTGCTGAAAGACTTTTGGAAACTTTGACTCATTTTCTTCCTCACTCACTGTGTCTTTGGGCCATACACTTACTGCCTTTAATTACAATTTTTTCCAACACTAAAATGGTAATAACATTAGCATTACAGCAAATGTTATCTTAAGAATTAAAGGAAATAACACTTGCGAAATACTTAATATAAACTTGTATGGATGAGTTTGAGTTTAGCCAGCAGTCTTTTTTAAATACTAAATAAAATGTGATAAGTAGTACAGAAACCATTACATGTAGTGAGCAACCAGAACTAATATCTATTGACAATGCTCTGCTTCCAAGCAAGCCAGTTGGATAACTTCTCATGCTGTAAATCAAACTGGTTATCTTATGTCTTGTTAGAGTAAAAATACCAGAGACAGAACGATGAAGTTATCTTGTAGACTGAGATGAAATCCATATGAAAATGTGTAAAACTGATAAAACATAAAAGTATCTGACCAGTATAATGTGTTTTACAACTTTTAAGTTACATCGCAAAGATAAAGAAGACCTAGAAGAATGAATTCTTTTTCTGTTGTCCTATCATAGGTCCTTAGATGGATGAACTCTTACTCATTCTTATACAGGCATGATCTGATGAGAGGAACTGTATTTTTTGTTTGCTTACTTCTATTTATTCTTCAGTTTGAAATTTGAACCATTGGGACTGAAAGAAACCAAGGGAAATTAGACAAACTGGCTTTGGAAAGAACAATCAATGTAAAATATATGAATTACAGCCTTGTAAAAGGTCTAACTAAATTGAGTTATATAGTCACAAGTGTAAACAGAAAATGATTTAAGCAATACCATCTTATTGAAAATTGAAAATGTTATGAGTTGCTACATTTTTTTTTCTTTTCTACCTTCAATTAATTATTGATCTGGTTTAAAGAGCTGAAAGATGAGATTAACAAGGAAATGGATTAAAAATGGACAAACGGTCTGAATAGACATGTTCTCCATAAAGCCCTGAAAATCGCCTGTGGGTTTACAAAGCTGTGTTTAATACAACTTCTATGCTGGCTTAATGCTTTTTGAGTAGAAGTCATTCGAGAAATATAATTCAAAATTACTATGATACTACTTCATAACTATTATAACTCATAAAAAAATCAATGGAACCAGTTGTGGTGGTAAAGGCTTGTAATTCCAAGCATTTAGGAGGTTGGATTTAAGTCTAAGGCCAGTTTGAGTTACTGCAGATAGTATAAACCTGCCTTTTATTACCTTTGAACAAAAGGTAATAATGTTGGTGAGTGGGGAGAAAAGGAAATTTTCTACACTCTTAGTTAGTATTCTCATTGTAGAAACTATTATGCAGGTTTCTAAAGAAATCCAAAGTTGAAATATCATCTGACCCACCAATCATGTGATTATTTCTCACTGGGTAATTCGTAAATATATCTATAGTTCATTCTTATTCACAACAGCCAAGATATAAGTCAGAGTTCAGTGTTCAACTACAGACTAATAAAGCAAATGTGATACATGCACAAATATCATCATCTGTTTCATCCTTAAAATAGCAAGAGACTTTCCCATTTGCCACAACTTACAATGACCTGAAAATTGTATTGTAAATGAAGAAAAATGTTGTGTTCTGATCTTTGTAAACACACACACACACACACACACACACACACACACACACACCTCAAACATTAAGGCGGAATTTTTTTTAAAAAATTAAAGCAAAGTGTAACTTCTGGGGCATTTAGTTCACAATGTAGAAGATAGTGGATATACAGTATGACCAGGTATAGAGTTGTAATGTACAACATGAGGATACAGGGGACAACACTGGCCTTACATAGGAATGAAACTAAGTAAGTAGGAGTTGTTCTTCCTAGGGGAGCATTATTGTGTACATCAAGTATAATCTTAGTAGATGAGCAAAATAACTCAATAGCTATGTACATATGACCGTATAAGATGATTCTAAATGAAATGAACTCCAAGATATGTTCTTTGTTGTTGTTATTCTTAATGTACTACATGATTTATTTTTATCTTTTTTGTGTTTTCCCCACCTATGGGTTTTCCCCGATAGTCACTGTATTTGATTTTGATACACTGGGTATTGTAAATATGTTGATCTAAACTGGGGAAGGGAAAGGGAAAAAACAAAATGGTGAGACAAAGGACAAAGGGGGAACCTCTGCAACAGTGATACTCACAAGACAATATTTTGGAAATAATCTTGGGAGGTGCATTGGGAGCGAAGAGGGAGAAAAATGAGGGAAGGGGAAACAAGTTAGAAAAGAAATAAATGCATTACCTTACTTATGTAACTATACCTCCTCTGTACACTACCTTGAAAATAAAATTTAAATAAAAAATAAAATATATGGGAGTAGCAATACAGTCGATGGGACTAGGGGAAATTCTGTACTACAAAAAGAAGAGTAGAACAACTGTGGAGAGCAGCAATTTAACATAGGAAGTAATAAACTAGCATACAGATTTTCAGCCTTATGTCAGTCACTAGAAAGGGAAAACAAAATGCATAATCAGCAAAATAATAGAGATAAAATAGAAAATTAAACAATTGAGGTGAAGAGATGACTTGGACCAAGAATAACAAATGACACAGTTAGGAAACAATAACAAGATGGTAAGTTTAATAAATATTAAATTAATTCTATTAAATGTAGTTTACATCACAATTTGTTAGAATGATAATTCACATCAGAGTTTAGTAGTATATAATTTTAATAATATATTAGTTATTATTGATTACTTCATATTGAATGTTTAATATATAATTTTAATTTCTGCCAGGTATAAAAAAGAAAAAAATGAAACTTATTTTAATAATATATTTCATGAATTGTGAAATTAGAAGCATTAGAATTTAAACAAATAATATATCATTATTGTTTCATTTCTGCGAATTAATGTAATAATTCAAAGTATCTTGTACTCAGCACTCATTTTAATATGAAATAATAAATTATTGCACATGTCTCAGTATTAGGTGGAAGAGTTCAGCATTGTGGTGAAATTCACACCACACAATACAGGAGGGATTACTCATCTCATCCAGCTTAAATGGTGGAAATTTGAATTCTACATGCATGTTAAATTCCTGCTCGGTGACATCTAAAAATTATATACAATCATATACACGAGGACTATTTCAGATTATACTTAAACGTCATATTCATTAATTAAATTTTTATTATTTTGTACCAAATGAGTAGATGATGATGCATCTGTGCCAGATTATTCATATTGAGGCTTATTTTATATTTCTGACATTGTTTCTCCAGTTGGTTTTAATTTTCCGTAAGGGGTTAAGTGTATTATATTGGATATATGAAAGTAAACTGAATGTTTATTTCATTAATCCCTTGCCTCTTGTCTAATCCCAATAAAATTTATCTATGTGTTTGAAGTAATGAAAATAACAACAGATATAAGCAAGATAAATCAGTCTTTAATCGACAAGTATTTTCACATTTATTTTGATAGTTGGTCCTCTTTTACACTACAGAATATTATTCTTGGGAAAATGTGTTCCATGCTGGCCACAACTGCAGAATATTATGGTTTGATCTATAATAAGAGAAGGAAGGAAGGGGACCTTCCTTCCAAAATTCTGCTCCCTGGGATGTGAGCT